TCATTGCTAATATATTGAATGGGGAAAAGCTAAAAGCTTTTTCACTAAAAACTGGAGCAAGACAAGGCTGCCCACTCTCCCTACTCCTTTTCAACACAGCACTGCAAATCCTAGTCAATGCAATCAGACAAGAGAATAAAATAAAAGGCATTCAAATAAGGAAAGAAGTGAAATGATCTCTATTTGCAGATAGCATAATTACATACATAGAAAACCCAAAAGAATCCACCAAAAATCTCTAGAATATAGTAAAGTGACAGGATGCAAAATCAACAAACAAAATCTGTAGCATTTCTATATACCAACAATGAGCAGATTGAGGTAGAATTGAAGAAAGCAATTTCATTTACAATAGCCACAAAAAGTTTAAGATCCCTAGGAATAAACCTAACCAAAGAAGTCAAAGACCTACAAGGAAAAAGTATTAAAAAAAATAAAAAAGAAGAAGAAAGAAAGAAGAGAAAAAGAAAGAAAGAAAATGACACACACACAAAATGGAAAACCATCCCATGTTTCTGGATTGGAAGAATTAATATAATCAAAATGGCAATTCTACCCAAATTAATCCACAAACTTGATGCAACCCCAATCAAATTACTGGTGTTATTCTTCACAAATTTAGAATAAAACAATCAGAATTTGTCTGGAATCATAAAAGACTCTATATTGCCAAAGCAATACTGCACCAAAAGAATGCAGTAGGAGGCATTTCACTCCCTGATCCTAAAATAGATTACAAAGCTGTGATAATCAAGACAGCATAGTATTGGCACAAAAATAGGAATGTAGACAAATAGAATAGAATGAAGACCCCAAAAATAAGACCCAATTATACAGCTAACAGATTTTTGACAAAGGACATCAGACAATCCGGTGGGGAAAAGAAAATCTCTTCAGCAAATGGTGCTGGAAAAAACTGGGTATCCACCTTCAGGAAAGGGAAACTGGACCCTATCTCTCACCATTAACAAAAACCAACTCAAAATAGATCAAAGATCTAAACCTAAGACTGCAAATTGCAAAATTACTGGTGGAAAACACAGGGGAAACTCTTGACAGTGACATTAGAGTAGGCAGACTTCTCAAATAAGACCCTCAAAGCACACACAATAATCCCAAAAACAGATAAGTGGGATTATAGCTTCTGCACAGCAAAAGAAACAATAATTAGAGTGAAGAGACAACCATCAGAATGGGAGAGTATATCTGCAAACTCTCCCTTGGACAAGGAACTGATAACCAAAATATACAGGGAACTCAAGCAGCTTAACTTAGAAAAAAAAAAAAACCAATCCAATTGAAAGATGGGCAGATGAGCTGAGTATACAACTTTCCAAGAAAGATGCATGAATAGCCAAAAAAGCAAATGAAAAGTGCTCAATATCTCTTATCATAAGGGAGATACAAATCAAAATCAAAATGAGATACCTCCTAACCCCAGTCAGAATGGCTAAGATTAAAATAATGAAGAATGATAAGTGCTGGCAAGGCTGTGGAGAAAAGGAAACTCTCCTACACTGTTGATGAGAATGTAAATTAGTATAGCCACTATGGAGAACAATATGGAAGTTCCTCAAAGACCTACTAGTAGAACTACCATATGATCCAGCAATTCCACTCTTAGGTCTCTACCCAAAGGATAGGCACACACTCCATGGGAGATTCACTTGCAAATTCATGTTTATTGTGGCATTATTCACAATACACTGTCTAAGAACAAGTGAATGGCTTGAAAAAGTGTGGAACATATTACTACAGAGTACTACTCAGCCAGAGAAAGACAATGAGACCCAAGCATTTTATAGGAAGTGGACAAATATGGAAGATTAAATGCTAAGGAAAGTAAGCCAGGCTAAGAAAGACATGCACTGTGTGTCTCCACTTAATATATACCTATGCACTCAATGACAGAAATTGAAAGAGTAGAAGGCATAAAAACATGAAAAGTAATTGTGGATACTAGAGACAGTGATGGAGAAGGGTGGGAAATTAGAGGTAGTGGTGGAAGAGAATCAAGGGGAAAAAAGAAGCAAAACATTCAACAGATGAAAAAAATGTGAAAATTATCTGTTGATGACAATGTGTTTGGTAATTTCTTTGACTGGAGTAACATACAGTGTTTCCATGCTGGGAAAATTCATTTTCGATGTTGCAAAGATAAACGGTGGCTGAATGTAAAAATAAGAAAAAAAAATTAAATCAATGTTGCCCCAAAATGAAATAAAACTAAACTCGAGGACCAGCAGATGGCATAATGCCCCAATGTGCATGTGTCCCAATTCTGGACATGATCGCCGGACTCCCATGTAGTCAGTCAACCAGCAGTTTGAGTCTCAGACCAGGCAGCTTAAAACTCAGTCGGGGTGCATGTCTGTGAATACCCAAGATCCTGAGAGGAGAATGGAGGAGAAGCGTGGCCATTCCCCCTGGGGGAGGTAATTTCTTGCTTTCTATCTCTCTGTCTCTCTGACAAGCACACGTGCCCTGTAGCAAAAATCTCTAAAACAAAACAAAACAAAAACCAACAAACAAAAAAAGCAACTCCAAAACTCCTAATGTGAATTCTAGCATTCCTTCACATAGGAGAATAGAGAAACTGGCAGAGAGCCAATAGACACTGTTGGAAACAGTTACAACGTCTTTTTGACTGTAAAAAGTAGTTGAATCACCTCAGTGCCCAGCAAATAGCAAGTGGTCAATGACGAGGAGATTAATTGAATCAAGCTTCCGCAATAAAGTTTTAAAAGTGCTTGAAACTAAAGCCATTGAAACAAGGATAAGAGGCGTCCACAGAAACCACCTACCGGTTGGGTGGAGTAATCAGGGCAGGGCTGAGCTGCTTTCTGATCACAGGATTTGCCGTGGTTTGGGTTTCAGTTTGACTAAGGCCCTGGCGCCCCCTGGCGGGAAAATAGAGGAGTTCAGCTTCTACAGGGAAATGTTTTCTCTGGATCTAAAGGTATGTTCTCATTGAGAATCTAGACTGTTTTTCTTCATATGCTTTCGATGCCACATTCCTTTGTTAATAAGTATTTTTAACTTCTCTGTTTTAACATCACATCCTGTGTATCTTCATAAGTGACACTGAAGGTCTACGTTACTCCAAGAGAAAAAACGGTTATGCTTAAGATACTTCTGCCTCAGTTTAGTTCCAGACAGTGAGAAAAACAATTCGAATTTCTTACAACCACCCTTGAAAGTGTGATTTACACCAACCAGCTGTAATGAAATTCTGAAGGAACTTCTAAGGGAATAAGTGAGGCACAACTTAAGAAGTAACTCAAATAATTTCCACTGTTCTCTTAGAATATGCTTTAGAGTTTACTGCCATTTTTTATGTCTGAAAAACAGTTCTGATTATAGAGCCTGTTCTGTAGCTCAGTAGTTAAGGGAGCTGGATCCCACATGGTCAACTGTGGTTGGAATCTTGACCCAAGGCTTGATAAACAAGTCAGGTGCATGTGTGCATGTGTCCCAATTCTGGACATGATGGAGAAATGGAAAGGAGATTCAACATGGCCATGACCCATGAGGGGGAGGTATCTCTCTCTCTCTCAGGCACACTCACTTTCTTTTTTTTATAAAGAATTATTTAATTTTATTTATTTATTCATTTTTTAATTTGACCTGAGAGGAACACACACATACACACACATGGGGGGGGGGTTGAGAAAGAAAGCCACTGGGTCCAGGACTCAGGCCATGGTTGGCCATGTGGGAGTGTCCAGCGCCTTAACCAGTATGCCATCCGCTGGTCCCAAACACACACACCTTCTGACAACTGAAAGAAAGAATTCTGGTTGTATTAGTTGTGAAATGGAGGAGGGCTGATGGTACAAACAGCCCTGTGGTATCCTCTGTCCTTCTGTATCTAGGGAACGAACATGTGGAGTGTATGTAATTGATTTGTTGAAGAAATCTGAGCTGAGTGCTAGGCAGGTGGCATTTAATCTCTGTGAAGTCAGCTCACTAATTAGATGCTCCACTTAGCTTCACTCCTCTATGTACATTCACCAAAGTACAGAAAACATTTGAACTCAGAGTTCTGCTAAATGAGAACCCTTTGAAAATCCTGGCAGATACCAGGTAAGTGTCAGTTTATTAAAGACGACATGGAGCTTGTGTTTGGGTATTCAATAAGGCCAGTCTTAGGCAAGTGTCATTGCTTTTAAGAAGAAAGGTGGACAGGAGATCACATATTTTTAGAACCATCTTTCACCAAAAGGGTATTTTAAAAAGGAAGAAGGGGGGGAGGTCTTATGCTTGAGGTTTAAAAAACATTTTTTTTAATGATCACAAATCAAATCAGACTTTCTCCAGCAACATAGGAAAATAAAGAGTTACAACCATTTCTTACTGAAACTTTGAAGAGGAATAGGAGAGTTGGCAGAGGGGGCAGTGGTCTATCTGCCTAGCAGTTCTCCCTCCTCCCGGCAGCGAGCGTGGTGGGGTTCAGCACCTCGGAAAGCGCCCCCTCTCTCAGCGCAGGGGTTACGCATGCTCCTTGGGGTCCGCCGCGGCTTTGCGGGTGTGAATACAGCGGCTGATAACTCACTGGGAGTTGGCAATAGCGAAGAGACCCAGGCACCCGCAGACCTCTAAGCAGAGTGGGGAGACTGCACTTCCGATATCTTTTTCTCTCAAAGGGCAGAAACCTCGTTGGAGCGGCAGCAGAGGAAACAGACAAAGCTCATTTAAAAGAGAAAGGACCCCCAATTGCGTTCCTGAGCAGAGGGCGGGCCAGTGCCTGAGTGACAGCGAGAAACGGAGGGAGTCTGAGTTGGAACAGGAGAGATTCAGAGACTCCAGGGGCGAGCAGTAGAGACTCAGAGACTCCGTGAGCGCCGGGCACTCGCTTTAGGAGCTGCACTCCTCTCTAGCTCCTCTCCAGAGCAGACACTGCGCCCAAAGCAGGGCTCCGCGCGCGGGGGACCCACTTAGTTCGGTGGCTTGTCTTCAACAGCGGCTTTGAAAGCTCCCGCGCAAGCCCCGCGCGCCCACCTGGGACAGCGCCCGGAGAGAATCGCGCTCTTAGGTCTTGTCTCCTGCAACATGACCTAGAGGTCCTTGTGCATGCAAGTGTCCACAGCTGCTGCCTCCAGGACAGCCACCATGAGCAAGGCGGCTGACGCGGACGAGCTCAGCCTGATGCCGGGCCTTCTGGAGGCGGCCAACACGAGTGGCAACGCGTCGGTGCAGCGCCAGGATTTGTGGTGGGAGCTGGGGCTGGAGCTGCCTGACGGCGCGGCCCCAGGGCATCCCCCGGGCGGCAGCGGCGCCGAGAGCGCGGACACCGAGGCTCGCGTGCGGATCCTCGTCAGCGTGGTGTACTGGGTGGTCTGCGCGCTGGGGCTGGCGGGCAACCTGCTGGTGCTCTACCTGATGAAGACCAAGCAGGGCTGGCGCAAGTCCTCCATCAACCTCTTCGTCACCAACCTGGCGCTGACGGACTTCCAGTTCGTTCTTACCCTGCCCTTTTGGGCGGTGGAGAACGCGCTCGACTTCAAATGGCCTTTCGGCAAGGCCATGTGTAAGATAGTGTCCGTCGTGACGTCCATGAACATGTACGCCAGCGTCTTCTTCCTCACTGCCATGAGCGTGGCGCGCTACCGTTCGGTGGCTTCGGCTCTTAAGAGCCACCGGACCCGAGGGCACGGCCGGGGCGATTGCTGCGGCCACAGCCTGGGGGACAGTTGCTGCTTCTCCGCCAAGGCCCTGTGCGCGTTGATCTGGGCGTCGGCCGCGCTGGCTTCGCTGCCCACTGCCATTTTCTCCACCACGATCAAGGTGGTGGGCGAGGAGTTGTGCTTGGTGCGCTTCCCGGACAAGTTGCTGGGAGGCGACAGGCAGTTCTGGCTGGGCCTCTACCACTCGCAGAAGGTACTGCTAGGCTTCCTGCTGCCGCTGGCCATCATCAGCCTGTGCTACCTGCTGCTGGTGCGCTTCATTTCCGACCGCCGCGTGGCTGGGGCAGACGGGGCGGGGGGGGGGGCCTTGACTGGAGCCAGCGCCCGCAGGCGGTCCAAGGTCACCAAATCGGTGACCATTGTGGTCCTCTCCTTCTTCCTGTGTTGGCTGCCCAACCAGGCGCTCACCACCTGGAGCATCCTCATCAAGTTCAACGCGGTGCCCTTCAGCCAAGAATACTTCCTGTGCCAGGTGTACGCCTTCCCGGTGAGCGTGTGCCTGGCGCACTCCAACAGCTGCCTCAACCCCATCCTCTACTGCCTCGTGCGCCGGGAGTTCCGCAAGGCGCTCAAAAGTCTGCTGTGGCGCATCGCGTCGCCCTCGCTCACCAGTATGCGCCCCTTCACGGCCACCACCAAGCCGGAGCCAGAAGATCAGGGACTTCAGGCCCTGGCGCCTCTGCAAGCGGCTGCCGAGCCCGACCTGCTCTCCTACCCGCCCGGCGTGGTGGTCTACAGCGGGGGGCGCTACGACCGTCTGCCCAGCAGCTCCGCCTACTGACGCCGGCGGAGGGCCAGGGCGTGCTCCAGTGGCAGCCAGTTGGTCTTCCCAGGGCGGGGAAAGAGAACTGATTAGGGGGAGGTGGGGGACCCCAGAACAAGAAGTAGGTGGGCCAAGGGTGGGGAGAAGTCTGGAGAAGCGGCCTGTGAAAGGCCGAAGGGCCTTCTCCGCAGAAGGTAGGCTGAGAAATCCGGTGAAGAGAGGAACGTGGCAAAGGGGCAGAGGTCAGCCCCACAGAGCCAGGTCACCAGCCTCTGCTTTCATCCCTACCCTTTCCGTACTCTGTCCACTCTGGGCCTGTGGGGACGCCCCAAAGCGGAGGGAGTTATCAGAAATACCGGGAAAAAAATGGGTTGCACGAGAGAGGGGTTCTGTCAAAGGAGGCTCACTTGAGCGCTTTTATCTCAGCGACTTCTATGGAGCCCTTGCCCAGGGAATTCACGGTGCATCTAGACAGAGGAGTCTCCCTCCAAACTCCCTTTGCACCTTGTCTGGTGAAGCCATCTCAGTAGGACGGTTCGACGTGTGCATGGCTGCCTTGGGAGCCTAGAGTTTGGAGGCCAGAAACCGTTCCAGAATTGGGAGAAAGCAGTGACCATCTTGGGCCACCCGTGGGAGAAACAGAGGGGAGAGGCAGCCCAATCTCAGAGTGGCGTTTAATCTCTGCGAAGTCGGCTCACTAATTATATGCTCCACTTAGCAAAGCCCTGCTTTGGGCGCAGTGTCTGCTCTGGAGTGAGCCATTGAATCCTTTATCACCCCGGAAAGGGCTAACAGGCACACACTGAACTCTACTGTGCTTTAAGCTCAGGTGTCACCAAGGGCAAAACACTTGTCACCAGCAAGGGAGAGTGGTTCTCTGGGGACTAGGGGGAGTGGGGGAGCGTTGCAGAGGGAGGGAGAAGACGTGGTGTGATTAGAGAGGCTAAAGAGAAAAACCTCTCTAAAGGAAAAGGGGGTGCACGTGCTCACTTGGCAATCCAGCAGGAGGTGAGCGCTGGCGCACTGGGCGCACTGGCAGTCTGGGCTCCAGTTCCTGAGAGCTGTCTGGGTGCCTGGGGACGTTGTGCCCTCCTGTCTACCTGCACAGATGAGCTGGGTCAGGAGCGTCTTCAAAAGCCCTACTGGGAGTGGGGGCACTCCTGCAGCCCTCCCTGTTCACTCTTTGGGAATCAGAATGCCCCTTTGAGGCTCTGGATCAGCAGAGACAGCTCAGTGATGTTTTCAATAGGCTTAGAAAAAAGAGCAATGAATGCTGTCAGGATGGGCAAGGGGCTCCTGGAAACCAGCCTGGAAACGGGAATCTGATCTTCCAAGAGGAGGTGTGGAGGGGAAAATAATCCAAATCTGTCCTGAAAGGAAGAGACCGCTAGAGAAAGAGACTTGCAGAGGGTCACCAGAATTTCAGATTGGGGGGTTCTTTGTCTTTCGTATCATTGCTAAGAGACGGTAAGAAATAAAAATTCCCAGAGGACACTATCTTAACCAAGGTCCATTTATTTTAAGAAGTGCTTTGCACATTGAGCATGAATGATGCATTCTTCCCTCACCCTTAGACAGTCTATGGGGCTATCTCTGAAGAGTGACACTTTTCTCGGGGCAACTATCTCCTGGTGGCAGCAGTTTAAAATGTTAAGATACTCAGGAAGTCCTTTTTTGAGGCTGCTCTGAGCACTGGGATCAAACATCAATCTATTGGTCTGTCTGGCAGCTTTGATAGAGGTACTACTGTTCTGTTTGGCAAGTTGGTTTGGGTCAAGAAATCTATAATGCTGGCACCTACCAGTGTGCTTATTTTAATACAATAAATAATCATTAGAAAACCATGGTTGTTCGAATAGCCTCTTGAACTGCAGATTGCTTTAGTAATTGAGTTGGAACTTTCCTTTGGTGTCTGAGATTTAAGGCTCAAAATGTGAAATCTACAGTCCTGACATCCTTTGTCCCACTTTCTGTAACAACACAGTGCAACCTTTCTGCAAAAACAGAAGTTGCCCAGTCTCAAGTCTCAGAAGTCTTGAGAAGTTCACTCTTTTAGAAAAATAAACAGTAGTGCTTTTGTTCTGAAGTCATCAAATTAGTCTTTCTTTGCCCTTTGGGGAGAAAATGGATGGCTAGTGATGTTAAATAGCAATTGGACTAGCAAAGATTAATATGTAAGCTTCCCAACCCAAATCCCCAAATGCAAAATAAATGGTAAACAGAGGCAAGAGCCAATGGTAGCATGACAGCACATTCATGTATAACACCAATATAAGACTCTCACTGAGAAATTCTCATTAAAACAACTTGTCGTTTTGATTTTGACCCTGAAGTGATGTGTGGATAGCTCAGAATTCTTAGGAAAGTATGTACTTCTGCTGTCAAGGGCACTAGAAAAAGAAAAGAAGGGGCTAGAGGCAAGGTCTTCATGAAAAAAAAAAATTCTATAGAAAGGGTCACTTCATCCAAAGTGAAATCGGATGCCTTCCAAAAAATGTAGCAAGAGTGATCAATGACAACTTCTGTTTCCCACAAGCACAAAAGAGTCAACAAGGAAATGGCACAATATGTGAAAATCAACAATTGCTTTTTGAGGGTCTGTTGTGTGTCAAGCCCTGTGTTGAGATCAGGTTCATGACATACATGTTCCTGACTTCTACATTTACAAAGACAGACAGCCATGTATGCAAGCAAACTATGACAGGGAATAGCAAGTCAAATGCCTTACTAAGGCTAAAAGAAAGTGCTATGGATCACGGAGGAAGGGAAGATTGAGCCTGCTGGAGGGTTGGAGGATTCCTGGTCAAAACAGTCTTTGAAGTGGGTTAGATGTGCAAGAAATATGGGCATGATTTAGCCAGAGTGCCAGAGCTCAAGTGAGGAAGTAAAGGGACATTTGAAGCTGAGAAGTGGTGATTGAAGTCTTTGAAGTTGGAATGTCAGATGCTTGATTGGGAAGTACAACAAGTTTAGCTTTCAGGGTTTCTGGAATACATGTATTTCTGTATTCATTTTATTTGACTGGAATCTCTCTCTCTCTCTCTCTCTGTGTGTGTGTGTGTGTGTGTGTGTGTGTGTGTGTGTGTATGTGTACCAGAAAGAATGTATCCTTGGAATACCGAGAGCAAATACGTGGATTCCCAGGGTGGTTAGTGGATTTTTTTTTAACTTTTATTTATTTCATGAGAGGGAGAGAAGGAGAGAAGAGCAACCTCAACAGGGACTTACACCATGATCTCCTCCACCAGCCTTGCCAGCCAGTCAAGATCATGGGAATGAACATCCAGCATGTATAGGCCCACAGAGGAACCAAACCACAATCTTCCATATGGAGCCAGCGTCACTTGAGCAGCACATCACAGCTGCAACTTGTGTCTGCCCAGTGTTAAACACTTTAATTGCTGTTGCTTTGCTGGAGGATGTATGCACTGGAAAGAGAGAGAAAAAATGAGAAATCACCCACTCCCATTGGGGATGGTCATGCCTCAATTCCTGGCCCTCCATTTCTCCCTTCTTTCGAGATTCTGGGCACACACAAATGTACCTCGCATGTTTTTCAAGCTTCTGGGTACAGTCAGCCGCTTGGGAACCAGCCACCCCAACCACCATGCTGCTGACTGGCCTGAGACTTTTAAATCTGGAATCTATACACTGGCTCAAACCCCAAAAGAGTTGAGTTTAGTGAGTAAAGTGTTTGTGCATCTGAGTGTATGTGAGAGATAATGAGAAAGAGATGTTGATAGAGCATACCTGCTGCTATAGCTTAAGTTCCCTGCCTCATACCAGTAGCCTATCCAATGTTCCATCTAAAAATGGCTTTCTTTATAATTAAGACCTTGCCCTGTGGTTTGTCAGGGATGACTACATAAACTTCTTAGGAGTCCAGATGGAATGGCCCTCCTATGTGTCAATTTCCAGCTTGCCGATCCATTTATTTAAAATCTTTCAACACCAGACTCACCCTTTGAAAAATGGTGGGGTAATAAATACTGAACCCACAGATAATTTCATCTCCAAACCTCACACAGCCAAGTGCAGGATTGGGAATGATGCTATTTCTGTTATAATTCTGAGAGCTGGTGACATGGAGTCCTCTGGGCATTGCTCATATTCACCCTTTCCTATGGGGCTAGGAGAAGATCTTCCTTTGATCGCTCCTCTAAATCACTCATGACCTTGTTTCTCTAGGGTGGATTATGGGGTGAAAGAGGGAGGAAAGGAGATGAGGAGATGGAGTAGTTTTTCCATATGCTCTCTAAAAAGAATGAGATGGTTTCATTTGGGACCATATGTACTAACACAGGAGGGGATCCTGACTGGAGGCCGAAAATGAGAAGTGCAGTCATGAAGAGGAGGGGGCAAGGCTTGAAGATTACTAAGTGAAACAACAGCTCACCAGGTCTGAAAAGACAGCCCAGCCTGGTTTGGAAACACCAGCCACCTGGAGAGAACGACCTAAACTGCTGGAGCCTGGAATGCCG